AAAACAGGCAAGCCTGGTAAGTAAAGCTTTTCACCAACTTTCACACCAGCATTTTGCATTTTTAGTTTCTTTTGCTTTTGTTCTCCGTTTGCTGCATTCCCATGAAGTAATGTAAGTAATACTGAGCTAAGCCTGAAAGCGGATCTGCTGTGGTGGTGCTCTGATTCTGTCAATTTGGATAGTGTTAGTCCCGAGCATACTGTTGTTATTGTTGGTGAGCCGTGGACAGTGTGTGTTGCAGGCATGGAAGCCATTTAATTAAAATATTTTAATCACGTAACCTCATAAATACATTTAGAAATAAGTATCTGTAACTCCTTAGCTAAGATTTGACTGGCAGGCTATTACCAGCAGAGTTCCACTCAGCAGCTTTTTCATTAAAGCTAAATCACACTTTTAGAAAATATCACAGAGATCTTCCAGTGCCCTTCCAGCCAGATGCCAGGCTCTGTTTTCTGTAGTATTTAACCACTTTGGTTTTAAATGTGTCTTAACTGTTATCTGAGGTTATCAGATGCCCCTTTCCTAAAGCTCTCTGGGAACTTCCCCTCTTTTCAATTCATATGTCACTCCCTTCTCCAGTATAAATTCCTGTTTTCCCCTTGGAGTTTAATGCAGGGCTCAGGTTTAATCTCCACGGGCACCTCTAGCACGTAGTGGAAGGCAGAGGAGGAATGCAGCGTTGGGTATCACTTGCCCCTAATTCCCTTGTGGAAGTAGAAGTGGGGCTGGGGATGAGTGTTTGAGGAGCTGGTCTGGCCGAGGAGAGAGGGGGGCACCACGCTGCACTGGCAGGGCCAGGATGAGCTCCGGAGCTGTGAGGGAGCGAGTCACGAATTACTAACTTTCTAGATTGCCCTAGAAACAAGTAAGAAGGAAGTCGCTAAAATACCACAGACAGCAGTCTCAGATAAAGTAAAGTCGTGACATGAAATCCATTTAAGTACGTTACGTGGCCGTGCAAATGGATCCCTTCCCCTGCATGGAGTTGCAGCGACAGAGGTTTTTGCCAAAGAACGGGATCCTGCCAGTAAGTGTTTGGGAATTGAGCTAGACAGTGTGTAATCCCCAGTGTGGTTAAACAAATCTTGTGCTGGAACACAAGGTGACAACTTCGCAGATTTAGGAAAATAAACGAAAGATGACAAATGCTTTTCTCATATTACTTGAGAATACATTTTGACATTACAGATGATCACAGAGTTTCTTCAAGAAGGCAAACCAGAAAAGAATGTTTATTTTTTATGAAATGTTAAATATTATCAAACTGATGTGGCATTACAGGGCTCTGGGTTTCTCGGTTCTGCCACATCAAAGCTTCACCAGTAAAATAAAGGCGCTGTGCATCACACAGAACAAAATAACCTGCGGTCCTGCTCTGCCCCGGCGAGATGCAGTCACGAGGTGTGCAGAGGAACAGCCAACATGAGGTGACGCACGGTGTGGCAGCTGTGCTGCTCCGGGCTTAGTTAGGTTAGCAAAAACATGTATGAAAGGACTTGAATATGCAAAAGGAAGAGATTAATCTCAGTTTGGGAACTGACAGTATCAACTTTGACATTTCAGAGCTGACCAGCACTATGAAATTCTTAATTCAGATGAAGGCTTCTATTCAAATAAAAAAAAAAATAAACTCTTGTTTAGTTCTTTGTATTTCAAAATATAAACGGCCTGAATGAAAAGTTGCAGATTCTGAAATGCCCCATGCTTTTTACATGGGAGAACTTCGTACCTTATTTTAGTTTCCATCGTACACAAAGGGAAACAGTAATATAAAACGGGTTGGTTTTTATTTCAGTATTATTCAAAGTATCCCATAAAACATGGTAACAGGATTCGTATTTTAGGACATGAAGCAAACCACAGAGCACTTTGGAAGACAATGCCAGACCTTTTCTTCCAGTGTTATATGACTATTCCAGTTTATGACTAGGTCAATTCCCCTGCAAAGTCTCTCAGCAGTGGCAAATAATTTATTGCCAGTGCTAGTGCTATAACGTTCCTTCAGCTAGTGCATCTTCAAACAAGGGAAATCCAACACCTGCCTTTTTCATGGGAACAGCTGAGTTCAAGTGAAATAAATTATCAGTGCAGAGATATATTCCCATTTTCCCCTAACATCAAAATATTTAAATACCACTGTATTTAGCAACCTTTTTCCAAAACAGGATTGTGTCTTTTTATAAAAATGCCTTTTCTGGATCCCACAAAATTACTAATACACAACACAGAGCACAGTGTAGTAGAAACTATAGATGAGAGTGAAATCAGTGTTCTTACTACTGTTACCCTTCTGAAAATTGCTTTTTTTCCTCCCCTTTTCTTATTTCTAACAGAGGATGAACAGAGAGAGAAATCTGTCTCCCATCACACTGTTCAGCAGCTGATAGTGGAGAAGGAACAAGCTTTGGCAGATCTGAACTCAGTGGAGAAATCACTGGCAGATCTTTTCAGGAGATACGAGAAAATGAAAGAAGTACTGGAGGGCTTTCGGAAGGTGAGTCAAGTTAAAGTCTCCTTCTTCAAAGAGCGAAGCTGAGCAGGCTCCAGTGTGTACCGGTGCTGCTAAACAGAAGGCACGTCTTTGTGTCCAGTTGAATCTGATGTACTACATCAGACTGCAGTGTGCTGGGGGAAGGGGAGCGTGAAAGTACATTGGTGCTTTCATTTTGGAATACATTTGAAAAGATTTTGATCAAGAGTAACTTGCTCCCATCTGTGGCCCTGCGATTGCAGTAGATGTCGTAGAACTGTGGGACTTGAGCACATGTCAGCACTGGTGAGGCTGCCCCTCGATTCCTGGGTTCAGCTTTGGGCCCCTCACCCCAAAAAGGCCATTGAATGACTCGAGCGTGGCCAGAGAAGGGCAACGGAGCTGGGGCAGGGTCTGGAGCACAGGTCTGCTGGGGAGCGGCTGGGGGAACTGGGGGGTTCAGTCTGGAGAAGAGGAGGCTGAGGGGAGACCTCCTGGCCCTCGGCAACTCCCTGCCAGGAGGGGGCAGAGAGGGGGGATGAGTCTCTGGAGCCAAGGCCCCAGCGCCAGGCCCCGAGGGAATGGCCTCAAGCTGCCCAGGGCAGGGTCAGGCTGGCTCTGAGGAAGGATTTCTGTGCAGAAGGGGCTGTTGGGCGTTGGAATGGGCTGCCCAGGGCAGGGGGGAGTCCCCGGGATCCCTGGAGGGGTTGAAGAGTCGGGCTGAGCCAGCGCTGAGGGGTCTGGGGGAGTTGGGAATGGTCAGTGCTGGGTTAACGGTTGGACTGGATGATCTTCAAGGTCCTTTCCAACCCAGATGATTCTGTGATTCTGTGGCCGTTGTGCCACCAGAACTGACAACAAGCAGCATCGATGTTGACAGCTCCAGGTCAGGGCCTGAACCCAGCTGGTAATGAAACCATCCTGTGGTGGCTGATGCCACCCAACGTTGGTAGAGCCCTTCAGCACGCTGCGAGAACTCCGTGTTCTCACCCCAAGGGTACCACACCGAAATTAAAGAGGCGAGGTGCTTCGGTTGGGGGACTGCTCAAACTTCGTCTCTCTGTGTCTGGGTGAATTACCCTGGTCCAGCATATCAGTTCTCGTGAGTGCTGGTCCATGTATCAGACCTCAGAATGATTTCAATCTAATTTCCCAGTTCTGATGATGCTGTATGTGCTCTCTTGGCTTTCTCACTTTTCTCTATGTAGTCTGGGAGGCCAAGAATTGTATTCCAGCCGGCACTGTGCAGCAAGCTCTACTCTCTGGAGGGGAAAACAGCCCCTCTCTGAAGTACACAAGAGGAGAGCTGACGACTGTGGAGTTTT